TCTCTCTCTCTCACTAAAAAAAAAAAAAAAAGAAAAAGAAAATAACGTTGATCATGATGGATGACAACTAGTGTTTATCAGGTGCCAGGCAACACTCTCAGAACTTTGTGCTATCTATGCTAACCCACGAAACTCTTGGAGGCAGGTAAATTTTTATTCCTATTTTAAGGTTGAGGAAACCCAGGTGTAGAAGTCACACAGTAAGTGGCAAAATCAGCCTATGAATCTAGACAGCTGGCGTCCATGTTCTTTACCACTGTTATTCTCTCAAAAACAGCAGGGGACAGACTTGAGGTTATTCACAATGCATGAAGTCATTTCAAACATTTCTACTAGTCCTGAGCAAAACCTCCAATTAGGAGATGCATGCTTTTGCCTGGCACAGTGGTGCATGCCTGGAATCCCAGCCACTCAGGAGGCTGAGGTAGGAGGATCCCAAGTTCGAGGCCAACGTGGCAACTTGGTAAGACGCTTGATAACTCAGCAATACCCTCAGCAACTTAGACACTGTCTCAAAATAAAAAACAAATAAAAGGGCAAGGAATACAACTTAGTGACAGAGTACCCCTGAGTTCAACCCCAGTACCACAGGGAAAAAGAAAAAAAAAAAAAAGACATTTTCTATACAGCTCATACCAATTGAGGAAGCATAGCAGCAGCTGCATCAATTTGGCATTTTTAAAAAATTGTGCTAAAGTTTAAAAAAATTTTATTGTGATAAAATGTTTTTTTTGTGGCAAAACACAAAAACATAAACTTTACCATCTCAAACATTTTTAAACGTACAGCTCAGGGGTATTACAGACATACCTCTGTGCCACTGTCACGAGCACCCATCTCCAGAACTCTCCCTCCTGTGAAACCAAAGCTGCAGAGCCATTAAGCAAGGACTCCCCATCTCCTCTGCCGCAACTGGCAACCTCCACCCACTGTCTGTAATGGGGCTATTCTAAGCACTTCCCATATGTAGAATTATGGAGCATTTGCAGTTTCGTGACTGACATTTACTTGGCACAGGGTCTTCAAGGTTCTTCCATGTTGGCAGCATATGTCAGAACCAGTTTAGCATTCTGATCACTCAACTCTGTTAAAAACACTCACATTTCCTGGGCACGGGCCAATGCATTTCTTGTAACCATTCTTAACATCTCAGAAGCAGAAGCTTTGGTGCCACTTGGTAGTTGGGCTGAGATTCTGGGTTGTCACAGACCTGAGTCCCTTTTTTTTGAGAAGAGCGTCCCATTATGTTACCCAAGCTGGTCTCAAGTTCCACATTCAGCCTGAATTCTGACTCATTTCATATCCTCAATTGTTACTTAACTTTTCAGAGCCTCAGTTTCAACATACATAACATTGGAAAAAACACCACTTTTCCCCTGGGGTTGTGAAGTTTTAATGAGATGATGGGTTACAGTATTTAAAAAAAGTTAATTTGAATTTTTAAAAAATTTTTATTTAATTTTAAAAATTAATTTTTTTAAAAAAATTAATTCTTAGCACCGCTTTTAAATTTTTAAAATTAATTTAAAAGCGGTGCTAAGAATTAAACCTGCTAGGCAAGTGCTCTACCACTGAGCCCAGCTCTACCCCAGCCCCAATGGGTACAGTATTTGCCAGCACAATCAGAAATGCACAACTGAGGGAGGCTGATATATACCACCACAATAAATCACAAATTGTTGTTTTATTGTTGTTTTTGTTTTTGTAGTTGTAGATTGTCAGAATGCCTTTATTTTATTGTTTTTATGTGGTGCTAAGGATTGAACCAGTGCCTCACACATGCAATGCAACCCCTCTGCCACTGAGCTACAGCCCCAGCTCCTAAGTATTGTTCTTATTCTGTGTCCTCCTTCTGTGGTCAACACCCATTTCTGCAGATACAGGCACTGAAGCAGGATACTACTTCATCTGAGGAAAGACACTCAATCACACACACACTAACATTCCAGCCAGAAAAGGAAACTAGCAGCTTTTCCTTATAGCTCTACAACTAGTTCCAAATAGCATCAGCAGTTTCACTTAGAAAAAGACATAGTTTTTCTTTTCTTATTTTTGGTCTTCAGTCATAGTTAAGATAGACATCTTTTTCTGGTACTCATCAAGAAGGCTCTCACTGGCTGGGTGCAATGGCACACGCCTGTAACCCCAGTGGCTTGGGAGGCTGAGGCAGGAGGATTGCAAGTTCAAAGACATTACTCCTTCTCTGGAACAAGCTCCCTAGTTTTTCTTGAGAACTGTTCCTCCATTGGCTATCATTCCTGTGGGGCTACCTAGTTCTGGCTAAGAACAACATGACCTCAGTTAGCTAACCGGACAGATTCAGAATCTCAAATCTTTAGCTCAACCATCCAAAACTGAAGGAGAAAACACAGAAATAAGTAACAACAACAAAAACATAACTGTAGGGGCTGGTGATATAGCTCAGTTGGCAGAGTGCTTGCCTCTCATGCACAAAGCTCTGGGTTCAATCCCCAGCACCACAAAACAAAACCACCATATAACTGTAGCTCATGGTCCCCACTGTGGACCGAGACAAGACTAGCCCCTAGCTCCTGACACCTGGTTCCTACCTTGTCCTAGGTCTGGTCTTTCACTTTTCCATAGCTTCTTTGACTCTCTCATAGTCTCCAGTTAGGAAGAGCTGCAAGTCTATTGCTTCCAACCAAAGAACTTTATCTGGAGTATTTTTAAATATATTTTAATTATACATGGACACAATATCTTTGTTTATTTTTATGTGATGCCGAGGATGGAACCCAGTTCCTCACATGTGCAGGCGCTCTGACACTGAGCCACAGCCCCAGTCCCTATCTGGTGTACTTTTAAGCAAACATTAGGACCCTATAAGGCTCAACAAACTCTTTAATCTCCTTTCCCTACTCTCCTGGGCAAAAATTAAGGTAGTTATCTATTATTGCGTAATGAATTATCCCAAACCAAGTGGCTTTAAACAATAAACATTTACTTTATCACAATTTGGGCATGTCTGAATCCCAGACCAGTGTCACTCAGCTGTTCTGGCTCTGGGCCTCTCATGCAGGTTGCAGTCAAGACATTGGCCAGGACTGTAGTCGTCGAATGCTTGGCTGGGCCTGGAAGATCAGCTTCTAACATGGTTCACCGTTCAATCCCCAGCCCCACAAAAAAAAAAAAAAAAAAAAAAGCAGCAGCAGCTAACAGCTAACACGGCTCACCACTGGCTGTGGGCAGGGCCCGTCCACAGGGCTGCTTGACTGTCTTCACGAGCTGGAAGCTGGCTTTCCCCCAAGTCAGGGATTAGACAAAACAAGATGGAAGCCAAATATACTCCATGACCCAGCCTCAGAAATCAAGCTGTGTCGTTTCCTAAACAGCCGGCACAGTCCAGGGTGGAGAGGAACCATGCACAGGTGAGTACCAAGAGGCAGAGATCACGGGGCCACCTTAGAGGCTGGCTGCCCACAGAAGGCTACAAGCCTTGTAAGGGCTTTGTCGCCAGGCACCAGCCTCCTTTCCTTTCAGCTACTCCCAGTCACCTAAGACCCTAAGAGGAAATCTCATTTTGGAAATCTGCAGACAATGACTTACAAACAATGGCATAGAAGTGGACGTGGAGACAGACACACAATGGCAGGGTGAAGGTCTCCTGCCCAAGGATCCTATCTGGAGAACCAGAAACAGGTGACCTTCAGAGAAAGGCTGTCCCAGGTTCAAGGACAAAAGTAGCATAAAACAGGGCTCACCCTTGGCAGAAGTATGATTTCTCCCATTTCAACCCCAAACAAAGCCTGCTCAGCCCTATCTGTTGTCGTTTTAACTCCAAATTGCACCACAAAAGTGAGATCCATAGTTCGGGCTGCTGCCAAACTATGATAAGCTGAACTGTGTCCCCTTCAAATTCATATGACGAAGCCCTAACTCACAGAATGTAGACTGCATTTGGACGCAGGACCGTTAAAGAAGTCACACAGTGAGGCTGTTAGGGCGAGCCTTGATCTGACTGGCATCCTCGTCAGAGGAGATGAAGACACACAGGGAGACACCAGGTTTGTGTGCACCGAGGAAGACCCTGGGAGGGCACAGCAAGGAAACGGCACCTGCAAGCTAAGGAAAGAGGCTTTGGGGAAAACCGCTCGATCTTGGACCTTCAGCCTCCAGATCTGTGAAAAAATAAATCTCTGTTGTTCTGTGGTATTTGGTTATGGCGGATGCAGCACCCTAACCCCTGAGCTCTCTGGGGTTACACTATTTGGGGCTGTGTAATGTGATTTGAAAGAACAGACACAAGAACATCCCTCCCAGAGTCAAGGAGGCGAGACAGCTGAAGACCTGCCATGGAGCATGAATACACCGTACATGTAACACACATATGCAGCAGGGATTCCGGTTCATGTTCAGCTCCTTCCGTAGTGCTCCAGAGGGCCCCAGGCCTCCCTTTCCTCTCCTCTGAAGGCAGCTCCCAGGTCCACAGGTTCGTACAGCTGCCTCCAGTGTCCTGCACATCTTCTCCCTAACTGGAGAGCACCTTCTGGATTCGTTCCCGCACTTCTGTTGGTCCCAGGGACACCATCATCTCAGCTACAGGGGGTCCTTGCTAAGAAAGAAAAGGGAAAACAATGCCTTATTGTCTTAAACCGCCTAAGGAACTTGTGCTGAGCCTCAGCCTGCAGAAGACATGCCCAGGCCAGCCCCTACCCGGCCGCCTGCATCCCAGGAGCAGGCCTTGTATTTTACAAGTCTTGGACTTCCTGGATGAGGATGGGTCTCAGGGGACTGTCTTTCTGTATTAAGCAAACTTGTTATGTCTCCTACCCTCAATAACCTGCAAACCCCGTGAAGGCAGGGATCACGTGTCCGCACCAGACCTAGCATGGGGCTTACTTACAGCAGCTACTTCCTAACCACAGTCCACCGAATGACTGAAGGAGAAGGCGATCATGTTTCACTCATCTTTGTATCCCCCGAAACTGAGCTCAGAACCTGGCGATAAATGTGAGTTGCAAAGCTACGGGAGGTCCCAGGGAACAGTTCAGCCCAGCTCCCTCCTCACCAGCTGTCCACTGAGGGCCACTCGGAGGAGTTTCATCACGTTACTGTGCTTTGTGCCTTCCAGACCTTCCGACAGCTTCTTCAGTTCTCCATTCAGCACATCCTGCGTTAAGCTCACGCCAGATTTTTCCAAAAGCCTAGAAGAGGGTCGGTCTATAAGGGGCTTGCGCAGGTCAATGGCAAATGGGTGGGAGGGTGACCTTCACAGGGTTATCACTTAACCACAACACAAGCCCAACTGTGTATGTATGTGAGTGTGTGTGTGTGTGTGTGTGGTAGATGGTAGATATCTACCATCCCCCATTCAAGCTGGAAAAACAAAAACATCAAGGGGACCACATACAGAGATAACCCAAGCTCGAAGTCACCATAATAAGAGGATTTTCTAATTGCTACCTCTGAGTCCTAAATCTCTGTCCTAGTTTTCTCATGTGTGTAAGTGGGGATAATTACAGCATCTGCACTGCACAGGGCTATGTGGAAAGTGGAAACTTGAAGGTGCTAAGCACGGGGCCCAAACACAAGGTACACGCTGAAGAGCATTAGGTTACATGTTTCCACAGAAAGTTTAAAAAATCAGCTGACACTTATTATATTCAAGAGCTCAGATACATTACAAGAGGACTTAAAAAGAAATTTAGAAATGGATTAGACACAGGATAAAAGAAGAGATAATTTCTGAAAATTATCTGAAACACAGTTTCAAGACTGGCTGGGGAAACCTATTTAAGAAGCATCCAGAAGATCAGAGGAACAGACTGAGACCAACTTGCTACAGCCTCTCTTCCCACAAGCCTAAGCACTTAAGGATCTAAACTCCAGGGGGCCAGTCACTAACCGCCCCCAAATTCTGGTGTCCAGCTGAGGTCCTCTCCGAAAAGCATGCTTGAGTTTCCAGAGCGATTTCCCATTCAACCACAGCGTGACTGCAAACCAACTGGTCCAGCTCTGAGTGGGGTAAGCAAGAGGAGGAATAGGCTGGTTGGTGTATCCACAGAACTTCCAGCTCCCCTAAGAGTCTACCTAAGATTTTAAACTGGAGCCCCTAAAGAGGGACTGAGGCGGGGCGTCTCACTGTTACAGATGATCCATGAGGCTGATCTGACATGACCTGCTACTCACAATGGGGTCCACACAGCTGGGTTCCAAAGGTCAGCTCAGCATGAACTACTGGCTCAGGGAACGGGGTTCATAAGTGATTTGAAGAAATTGCTTTTCGCACACAGTCTGTGTTCTTACTAACTGCCAGTACTTCAGCAACTAGCTTCAGTTTAAGACAAAAATGTCCAATTCCTACTGCATCATCGCCGTGGTCTCAATATTTTTGTCTTCCTAAATTTGTATGTTGAAATCCTACCTCCCAAGATGATGGTGTGAGGGAGTGGGTTTTGGTGAAGGAAAGGGATTGGTACTCATATAAAAGAGACTCCAGAGAGCTCCCTTATCCCTTCTGCCAGTAAAAGGATAGAAGAGCAATAGGCCACAAAAGCAAGTCCTTAACACTGAATCAGCTGGCCTGCTGATCTAGGGTGGCTGGCTCCAGACCTCAGAGAAATCACGTCGAAGCCACCAGTCTATGGTACTTTGTTATGGTAGCCCCACTGGACAAATATAATCATTACCTGGGCCACATGATTGCAGCTATTTATGAAATTAAAAAGATGAAATATAAAATATAAAAGGTAATTTGGGGAAAAAACCCAGACACTCCCCCTATTGTCATTATGGGCAAGCAGGCTGCCAAGGAACGGACGAAGGGATGACAGCCCCTGGCGGCCACTCATGGCAGCTCGGAACATGGGACACGTCAGAACTGGCCCAGAGCTTGGCGTGGACACAAAAGGGACTTCTAGTGATCTGGCAGCTTCTGAACATTCGGGTGTCAAATTTCCTGACTTGAGTGGGAGTCCAGAGTCTGTGAACTCTAATGCCCTGGCAGGAAGGAAGAGTCTTGGTGAATTATACCTAATGGCCCCACTGCAGATGTCTGAATGAAGAGCAGCGGCAATGACAACTACCGGGAGTTCATTCTCCAGAGTCACTTACAAAAATGCTTACTAGTACCCATGTGAGGTCCTTCACGGCAGCATTACTTGTAACAGCAGAATTTGGAAGCAACCCAAATGTGCAGCAATAGGAGACAAACTCAATAAATTATAGTAAGTGGCTATTTGTACATATAACGCATCTGACATATAAAACAGCACACTGAACGCACGTTTTCTATCATTTTCTAATGTAATAATCACAGCAAAAGCAGAGGTAAGTACAACAAATATCTGTGGTTTTGGCTGCTACGCATCCATCCCGTTTTCTTCCGATACTGGTTTCCCAAATCTCCTTGGGGAATTCTCAGCCATGTGTTAGCTGGAGGTCCACTAAGAGTCCTGCACATGGCCTAGGTCTAAGCCAACCACCACATGGCATTCCCCAGGCCTCAGTGGTTCAGGGAAAGGAAGATAAAACCAATCAGCTCCTATTAATCTCAAACCATAGGGAAAGAGGTAATCCTAGAATATTGTCTGAAACTGTATTTTTTTTTGGGGGGGGGGGCAGATACCGGGGATCAAACTCAGGGGTACTCAACCACTGAGGCACATCCCCAGCCCTATTTTGCATTTTATTCACAGACAGGGTCTCATTGAATTGCTTAGGGCCTTGCTAAGTTGCTGAGACTGGCTTTGAAATTGCGATCCTCCTGCCTCATCTTCCCGAGCCTCTGGGATTACACATGTGCACCACCATGCTCAGCTGAAGCTGAGATTTTGAGGCATACAGTGGCTGAGGCTTTCCTACAAAAACTGTGCCGTTAATGGCCCCCCAGCATCCCTTTTTCACTTTATCTATTTAGCAGGGTTGGGGATGGAACCCAGGGCTCCACACGTGAAGCAAGTACTCTAATACTGAGCAAATCCTCAGCCTTAATTTATTTATCTTTTTTTTTTTTCACGTCAGTCAAGCAATGTGCTGATATTGTAACAAGGCTTAGAGGGAGGGATATCTCACACAAGAGTGTGAACACCCAATCATCACACTTAAGAACCGGAGGATCAGTCTTATTTATTTTTCAAAGACAGGGTCTTGTTTTGTTGCTCAGGCTGGTCTTGAATTCCTGAGCTCAAGCAATCCTCCTGCCTCAGCCTCCTATGTAGGAGGCGCTCACTACCATGTCCAGCTTTCTCCCTTTCTTATGCAGTAATAGAATTTTAAGTTGGGCACATGGCTGTCAAATATTAAAACTACACTTCCAGATTGCCTGGCAGCTAAGTGTGGCCCTGAGACATAACTCTAGAATATGGGTAGAAATGGTGTGTGCAGCTTCAAGGAAGGTCCTTAGGGAAAAGGAATGTCCTATCCCCTGTTACCTTTCCTCCCTCCCCTTCTGGTTGAATGGTGGACAGTCCATGAGCCACCACAGACCACAGACAAGAGTGAAACTGAAGAGACAGGACCCTTAGGACAAAGATAAAAGCTATTCAGTCCCAGGCCACCTCCTGCAGGCTGCCAGGGAGATGTGGACTTCCATTTCTTCGGGTAGAGAGCCCCCTGCCACCTGCCCAATACAGAGATCTGCAGAAAAAGCAACCATGGAGGACAGCGGAGAGGCGTCGGCCACACGGTGTGGCCCTCACCAGCAGAATCCAGGCAGCACGTCCTCTGGCCTTGGTAGGCGTGGACACCCTTCCCCTCTTGCTTGTGCCATCCTTGGTTGTTTTTACCCTTGTAACCAAAACAACTGTTATGGTTCCAGAAAGAAGCAGTTCCACAGACAGATGAGGAAACGAAGCTCAGAGAGCTCCACTTGGTCAAGAGAAGCCACCTTGGCAAGAAGAATTAGCTTGGTAAGTGGCAGAGCTAGGATGCAGCCCAAGTCGGGCCAAGCCGCTGAACCCACCGCCTGCACCCAGGGAGAGGCTGGTCCTTTAGGCTACCTCCTAACCTAAGAAAGCCACAGTGAGCGATTCTCCCCAGCACAGGCCTATGCTGGGGGTCCCACAGGCCAGGCCAGGGGTAAGGGGCCGGGGGAGAGAGAGGGGAAGGAGAGTGGAACCTTGAGCTCAGTCTGCAGTACTCACCTCAGCAAGCGCTCGGCGATCACATCCACCTTCTCTGAGATGGCGCCCAGCTGTGCTCGACCCACAGCAGGCCGAGTCCACAGGTAGGAGTAGGCCGGGGAGACCAAGTCCTGTAGGCGGCAGATGTGACCCTAGGGAAGGAGGCCATCATTGCTTGTGCTGGGAGTGAAGCTCTAACCGCCCTGGAAGGTGTTTAAACCCACATTTGGAAGGAATGGCTCATCCTCCCAAAGTGCCATCTTCTCACCTGTCGCAGCAAGATGATCCTCTCCACATAGGCTGGGTCCAGGACATCCCGGTCTTGCAGACGGGTCCCAAATGCCTCCTCCACAAGGGCCTGCAGCTGCCCCACCAGATGGTGCCTCTGGGACTCACTGCTCACCAGCCGTCGGAGGTGCAGCCTACAGGAGAAGTCAGAGGGCCACGCTGCCTTGGCCCCCAACCCCTCTCCCCAGGGAAGCCAGCTGGCTTGAAGAGTGACACATCACATGAATCCCCTCCCCCAGCATTAGAAGCAGGAGTGTACTTCACACTTATAAAAGGAAGGGGAGATAGGGGATCTTACTAAGGTTACAGTCAGCCCAAGGGTCGAGGCCGCGGCAGACAGGTTTTGTTGCTAGCACTTTTAATACAGTAGCTGACAAATTCGTTCTCTTGTTTTGGCTGGGGGTGCTAGGGATCAAGTACAGGTCCTTGTACCTGCTAAGCAGGCCTCACCACCGAGCTACACCCCAGCCCAGGAGCTGGTTTTTAAACGAGGAAGAGATCATGTTAGACAGTCAGGGCTTCCTTTGGAAAATGAGAGGAGCTGCTGCAAAGGGCCCTCGTCTGCATAGCTTCCACTGGCTGGAGCAGGCTGGAAGCCTGGCTTAGACCTCAGAGGCCTCCAGGTCACCTGTTCCTCTAATTCCTGGTCTCTTACTTGGCTCTCCGCTTCCCTCATGTCCCTGTCTGGCCTCAACAGGCATCTAAGTTTATAAAGCAGAATCTGGAGCGTCCGCCTCCTAGCCTTACTACATGATGGGGCTTTGGTGTAAAAGGAGAGGTCAAAAATACAGACCCTAAGATTTGGAGCAGAGTGTTGTTTGAAGTATGTGTTGAAGTTTAAGTCTGGCTTTTCTTTCCAGCTCAAATCTATTTCAGAATTCTTTGAACTGTGGATTCTCTTCTTTGGAAATAGTAAAATCTCTAAGAATCCAAGCCTCAAACCAGGTCCTGTCATCCTCAGTCCCCTAGGCTGCCATCCCCTCTCCCTGGCAGGACTAGAGGGGCCAGAGAGAGTGGTATAGGGTCAGGGACCATTCTGAGACACTGGGCTCCTCGTCTGAGATGTGGTAAAGAAGGCAGGGAGCAAGGAGTGGAGAAGCACCTCACAGGCTCTGGAATCGGACCAGCCTGAGGACGAGGCCTGCCTGCCAGGTGTTTGCAGTAAGTTACACAACCACTGGGAGGCGGGGATCCTCACCATAAAGATAAGTGGGGACAATAAAAGACCTCCTCACAGGGTAGCTATGACAATTAAATGAGGGACTGCAAGTACAGTCCTGATAGCAAGGCCTGCATGCCACATTTGGAAACTACTGACAGGAGAGGGTCTGAAAAGAGGCTTTGGCATGTGACAGGGTGGAGAGGTGAGACCTCTAGAGAAGTTTCTGGAATGCAAACTGGTCAAAACAAGTTTTAAAACAAATTTTTAAAAGGTATGAAGGAAACACATGAATGCAGTACTGAAACTGTTTTTAGAATCTGCTTAGCAGCTGGATGGGACAGTAGAAAGAAAGAAAAATAAAGACGGAAGAACAAAACAAAACCAAAAAAATCCAAGAGCCCCTCATGGCCATGTTTGCAATAATACCCGTAAGGTCCAGGACCTGGGACACAGCAAGTACAAAATAAAAGTTAATGACTATTGTCACTTTCACCACAACACTAGTACTGTTGCTGCTATGGCAACTATATTTATTATTGTTTCTTAAATAACCACAGCAATGGCTTGAGGAATGTCTGAAGATAACCACTTTGGCTACATTAAGCCTTTGGCAGCAATCCTAATGCTCCACCCCATCCCTGACTCTCACTAAGCAAAAGTCCACCTCTGTCTTTCTTACGACCCCTCCCTGCCGCCACCGGGTGCTTCTGAGAGGACTGGAATGAAACACTAAGTATCTCTCCTGTCCTGGCCCCATTCCCCTGGAAATATCACTTTCTCTATAATAAAAAGAGACATGCATGTGGTGTTTAATATGTATGCTGCACTCATTCTTGCACACTCCATGCAAGAGACTGTGGAAACTTGAATTATTTAAATTCTGACTTGGACTTTGCACAATAACCCAGGGCAAGATCATAAGACTGACCTCGAGGTCTGATGGGAGAAGTACATGAAATGACATCCTTAGAACAACTGCAGGGCAGGTTGCCTAGCATGCATGCAGCCCTGGGTTCAATCCCCAGCACCAAAAAACAAAACAGTAAAACACACACACACACACACAATCTGCAGGTGAAGTGAATCTCTGCACCAGTAGGAGCTTATCCCCAAAGCAGTGCTCAAAAAGGTGCTGAAAGGTGCCTGGTCCCTGACAGTGCCTGGCCCCAATTGGCAAACTGGATCAATGGCCTTATCCCTAATGCCCTTTGACTGACACGTCACAATGATATCTGAACTTGAATGGTGAGCCTACTGGAGGTTCAAAGTGAAGACCTACTTGATAGCAGCTACCTGAAACATTAACCTGATGCCATGAGATGGTGCTGGTTCCCTGGGGAGAGGATGGGTAGATTCTTTTTTTTTTTTTTTTAAGATAGATAGATAGAGATAGATAGATAGATAGATAGATAGAGAGAGAGAGAGAGAGAGAGAGAGAATTTTTTTTTATTATTTCTTTTTTAGTTTTCGGTGGACACAACATCTTTGTTTGTATGTGGTGCTGAGGATCGAACCCGGGCCACACGCATGCCAGGCAAGCGCACTACCGCTTGAGCCACATCCCCAGCCCAGAGGATGGGTAGATTCTAAATGAAGACGTTCCCCTCCAGGCTTTGGGTCATAACAGAATCCATGCAAGGGGTGTCTAGAAACAACAGCAATGATAAAATCAGCCCCACCCACTTACTGAGCACTTTCTGTGTGCCAGGAGTTCACGCAACACTTAATTCTTACAACAATCACATATGATGGGCATTAGCCCTAGAGTAAAGAAGATAAAATGCAGGCCTGAGGAGTGACTTGCTATGACCACTCAGCATTAGACACTAGAGCCAAAAGTCACAATCAGGTGCATGGGACTCCAGAGCCCACTTTACCTTCCACTGTGAGCTACAAGGCCCTTTCCTACCAGATCTTCATGGTCCCTACTCACCTGTTGAATTCTGGGAGCTTCTCCAGGTCCAGCAGGGCCGAGTGGCAGGTGATCCGAGTCAGGTCGAACTGTGCTATCAGCTCCGGCAGGGTCCTGCCCATTTGGTTCTCTGCAAGTGAGGCCCGTCCAGTGGCTCAGCTTCCTCCCTCCTGTCCTCCTTCCACTTTCTTTTGTGGGGGAGAAGGGGACAGAATCTTGCTATGGTGTCCAGCTGTCCCTGAACTTGTGATCCTTCTGCCCCACTCTTCCAAGTAGTTGGAATTAGAGGTGCACACCATCACGCCTGACCTCCTTCCACTTCTGAACACGAGAACTCTGGACTCCCCTTTCCACTCCAACCCCAGGGATCTGAATTCTAGATATTAAGGCCCAGATGAGCCTCTCATTTTCAGAAAGGGTTCTTTCTGTCAGTAAGGTAAATACAAGTCTGAAAGTAGGCAAAATCAATCCTTGTTACCCTAGAAGACACCAGATGCAAGAACAGTGTGCCCACTGCCTGGCTGTACCAGATTCCAATTTGACTGTAAAATATACTGATGCCCGGAACCAAACTTGGTTCCAGAATGCAACCACTGTTCAGAACTGCAGTGCCTGAAGCTGATTCATATAAATAGCTGCTCCTTCCTATGCGTCAGTAGGCATAACGGACATGGAAAAGACTCAAGTGCTAGATCCCTCACTAGCTGTGTAACTCTGGCAAGTTACTCAACCTCTCTGAGCTTGACAGAGGGATTAGTCCCCAAGTATATTTTAAGAGTTAAATGAAGTAAAAGCAGAATAAATCATGAGCAGACTGCTCTGGCCACATTTCCAGAAATCTCTGCCTTAAGAAGTCATTCTATTTGATGCTTGATTCTACAAGATCTGGGTTCTAAATTCTGGGCCAAGTTTAAGGACTCAGCTCAGAATAAACTGAATTTGTAGTAATGTTAGTATTGTGGTTAAAGTATATGCTTGTATAATAGCAATAATCATGGGAGTTAAAATTTTGGGGCTTATTATACAGCAGGCTCTGAGCTGGTAGCCTTGTGTTCATGAGCTCAGTTGAATTCTAACATAACCCTGAGGCAAATATTTATCCCCACTGTACAGATGAGGCAAATGGTACTTTAAGCTCTGTAAGAACAGGAACTAGGCCTACTGTGGTGATTCTCTGGAGCCCCAGCACTCTACGAGCTGTCTGGCTCAATAAATATTTGTTGAATATTGTTGAATATAAAAATGAACGTGGGCTGGGGATGTGGCTCAAGTGGTAGCACGCTTGCCTGCCATGCGTGCGGCCCGGGTTTGATCCTCAGCACCACATACAAACAAAGATGTTGTGTCCGCTGAGAACTAACAAATAAATATTAAAAAAAAAAAAAAAAATGAACATGTCCAAGATCACGTGGCTAGTAGGTGGCAAAGTTGGGACTGATGACCAGGTCTGCCTGGACCAAGGGCCCTGTTCCTCAGTGTTACACTCCGCCTCCCTGACTGCTCTGTTGAGTGGGTACCTGCAAACCCCGAGCCACAGTTGGTGATGATATCGAGCAAGGCTTCAGGCAGAAAGCCAGCAGCAGCAAAATGCTCCAGGAAAATGTCCCCTTGCCTCTTGGACAGCTTGCTGCCATCCCTGTTGAGCAGCAGGGGCAGGTGGGCAAAGTGTGGTGGCCGCCAGCCCAGGGCCTGGTAGAGAAGCAGGTGCTTGGAGGTGGAGACGAGCCACTCGGAGCCTCGCAGCACATGGCTGATGCCCATGTGGTGGTCGTCCACCACACAGGCCAGGTGGTACGTGGGGAAGCCATCACTCTTCAGGATGACTGGGTCCCCCTCCACGCTGGCCACTTCATGCCGACTCCAGCCATATACTAGGTCCTGGAAGGCTGGTGCCTCCTCCTCCAGGCGGAAGCGGATAGCAGGCTTGGGATCCTTGGCCAGTTTCTGGGCCACCTGCTCCTGGCTCAGATTCCGGCACCGATTGTCATACCTGTTGGGGAACAGAACAGCATGACAGTTAAGAGAAATGCTGCTGGACGTGGTCCTACCTTTGTCTCTGATAGATGCATGACACTGGGCAAGTCACTTACCTCCTTAAGCTATCTCATCATCCTAGAATGGGAATAATAGTAGACGTTGTGTGGAAAACTGAGATGACACAAGAGGCAGACACTCCTGTTTGCCACCGTATCAACTATTCCCCTCTTCTCCCTGCTGTTGAGGAAATGGCAAGCTGCCTGGACTGAGGGTTGAATCTAGACAGCAGGCAGTGAAGATCTGAGGCCTACCAACAGCCAGGGAGAGAGGATGGAAGCAGATCCTCCTGGACCAAGCCCTGGGATAACTTCAGGCCTGCCTCAGACCCAACTGCAGCCCTGAGCTAAACCCTGAGCCAAAGAACCTGGCTCAGTGGTGCTCAGACGCCTGACCCATAGAAACCAAGAGGCAACTAAAGCTGGAGGTAACTGGTTATGCAGCAACAAATGACAAACACACCCAAGTCTGGGGAGGCATCGGAAATAGGCTGTGGCCTCACCGGGGCGTTTGATGGCTCCTCAGGGCCTCCTTCTTCAGGAGTTCCAGCCGCTGTGGAGAGCAGAAACAGGGATAGGCAGCTCCTGTCTTCAGCAGCGCTTCTGTGGCCTGGGCATACAGTGCCAAACGCTGAGATTGCTGGTAGGGCCCCGCAGGACCTCCCCGGCGGGGGCTCTCATCAGGGGGGATGCCTGGAACACAGGTAAGGAATCACTATCAAATAACACCCAAGAGGCACACAGTGCTCACTCCCAGGAGCTATCACAGGCGCTTTGCACGCTAAACCTTTCAGGCCTCAGAAGGTCATAAGGTCAATACTATCCTAATTTCCCTTTTCCAGATGAAAAGGGAAAGACAGAGAGGCTGAGCGTTAGAGGCCACAGTCTGGTGGAGTGAGGAGTCAAACAAGGAGGGAATGGGCCCTCCACTGCCCATCTCTCCATCCACCACTGCCCTGATGAGGGAGGAAACCAGCCCAGGCCTGGAACAGCGAGCGGACTGAGGAGAAGTAAGCAAAGTTCAAGACACGCCTGTCAGGCTCAGATGGAATCCTGGCTGCGCCACTCACTAGTTGTGACAGGGATTGCAGAGAGTGTTGCTGTGTGAGTGCTAGGGTGCCAAGCTCTCTGCAGGTTTCATTATGTTATGTGACCTCCCTGAAGCCTTGATGTCCCTCCCAGGTAGATGCTGATATCCCATCCTGTCAGGAAGAAACAGAGGCCCAGAGGTGGCATGGTACATTAAATGGTCAAAGATAAGGGGCATCACCAGCTACAAACTCAGGCTAGTAGGCCCCAAACCCCCATTCTTTTCCCCCACTTTTTTATTGTGCATTATACTTGTACTTAACGATGGGATTTCCTGCTACATAGATGTACATGCACACGATACAACAATTTGGCCCATATCACTCCCCACATGTCTACCCTCCCTCCCCATCTCCTACCCCTTGTTCCTTTCCTTTAATGATCATGAGACACCCCCCCACACACACACCTTTTCCTTTTTTCTGTCTAGCTTTCACATATGAGAGAAAACACAACTCTTGACCTTCTGAGTTTGGTTTATTTCACTTAATACAATGGTCTCAGTTCCATCCATTTTCCTGCAGATGACATACTTCTATTTTTCATTATGGCTGAAAAAAACTCCACTGTGTATACATGTCACATTTTCTTTATCCATTTATCGTCTAATGGACACCCAGGCTAGTTCCATAGTTTGGCCATTGTGAACTGTGCAGCGATAAACGTGGGTATGCATATGTCACTTTAGTATGATGACTTTAATTATTTAGAATAAATACTGAGGATTGGAGAAGCTAGGTCAGATGGTGGTTTCATACCCAATCTTTTGAGAAACATCTATACTCATTTCTATAAAGGGTTGTTCTAATTTACAATCCCATCAACAGTGTAGAAGTGCTCCTTTTTCTCCACATCCTCTCCAGCATTTATTATGGTATTCTTTTTTGGTGTGGGGGCAGCGGGGTGGGGAGGCATTAGGAATTGAACTCAAGGGTGCTTAATCATTGAGACACACCCCCAGACTTTTTTTATTTTGAGACAGGTTCTTGCTAAATTGCTTAGGGCCTTGCTAAGTTGCTGAGGCTGGCCTCAAACTTGTGATCCTCCTACCTCAGGCTCCAGAGTGCTGGGATTACAGGTGTGTGCCACCAAGTCCAGCTATTGTTTGTATTCTTGAGGGCTGCCATTCTGACTGATATGAGAAGAAATCTCAATGCAGTTTTGATCCTCACTTCCCTAACTGCTAATGATGTCGAACATTTTTTTTTCACATATTTGTTGGCCATTTGTGTTTCTTTGAGAAGTGTCTGCTTAATTTGCCCACTTATTAACTGCATTATTTGGGTTTTTTGGCGTTAAGAATTTTGAGTTCTCAGGCTGGGGATGTGGCTCAAGTGGTAGCGCGCTCGCCTGGCATGCGTGCGGCCCGGGTTCGATCCTCAGCACCACATACCAACAAAGATGTTGTGTCTGCCGAGAACTAACAAAAAAATAAATATTAAAAAAAAATTCTCTCTCTCTCTCCCCTCTCTCATTTTCTCTTTAAAAAAAATTCTCTCTCTCCTCTCTCACTCTCTGTTAAAAAAAATTTTCTCTCTCTCTCTCTCCTCTCTCACTCTATCTTAAAAAAAAAAAGAATTTTGAGTTCTCTCTATATATTCTAGATATTCATCCTGTGTCAGATGAGCAGAACTCATCTCTCCCATTCTGTAGGTTCTCTCTTCACATTCTCAATTGTCTCCTTTGCTGTGCAGAAGCTTTTTAACTTGATGCCATCCCATTTATTAACTCTTGGCATTATTTCCTGAGGCTTACAGTAGGATAGTTTCAATTTTTGCTATAATCAAATCTAAGTTATTCTCGGCAGGCCCACCTAACCTAGCATCCTACCTCCTCAGGTCATATAGGATAGACAACTGTAAATGGTTCCTGCAGAGAGAACACAAGGATTGGAGAACACAAGGAAGACTCTGCCCTCAAAGAGCCTTCAAAGGAATTAGGAAGATAAAGTCACCGGTTGCCCTGTGGCACTTCACGCTAACATAAACACTGCAGGTGGATGGGACTGGGCTCAAACCTACTGATTTACATGCAATGTCTGAAGGAGGCAAATCCATAGGAAGAGAAAGTAGATTAGCAGTTGCTGGTGGGGTAGGGGAAGTGGAATGAAGAGTAACTGTTAAGAGACAGCAGTTTCTTTTCCAGATAATGAAAATGTTCTAGGACTAGTGGTGACAGCTGTACAACAAGGGGAATATACTAAAAACCACCGAATTGTGCACTTCGAAAGGGTGAATTTCAAGTTATGTGAATTATATGTCAGTTAAAAAAAAAAATGACACCCAAAGTGAGGAGCTCTAGACATCAGCCATCCTGGGGACCTGCTCTCTGCCCTGAGAACCGTGCGGGGGTGTGTGCTCCGCTGAGGGGCTCAGACCTCACCCACCCATCAGGCTGCACCAGGAGCTCCAGGAGCCAGGGACCATCAGCCTGCTCATCACTCTACCCCTCGTGCCCAGCACAACACCTGGACACATGGCAGGAGCTCCATGAGGTTCTCACCTCAGCTTTGCTTTAGCTCCAGGCAACCCCTGTCCCCAGATCTCCAGTGGCCCTGCTTTGTTCACTGCCCTGAGGCCACGCTGGCCTCCTGGCCACTTCTCAGATCCACCCCGCACTTCCTTTCCTGGGAACTTTGAGACTGATTCCCTGGGCTTTGAGCAGTTTCCCTCAGGTGATTCCAGGACTGGCCCCTATTTCATTCAAGTCTCCACGCCAATGACTCCTCCTCAGAAGAGACTACCCCACTGAAAAGCACTCCTCACCCAAGTCCCCAACCCTTCTCCACACCTCTTATCATCACTTAACATCAGGGCAACAGGAATGAGCTGATGAGTCTGTCCCTTCTCCATGAGCACCGGGTCTTTACCTAATGTCCCCAGGGTCTTTATCTAATGTCCCCAGCACCTGGACTGGAACATGGATCACAATGAGTGATCTTACTAAATACATTCCTTTATTCAATGAGCCTCAAAGGAATATGTGCTAAAACCTATATTAGAATCTATAAATAAAATGATTTCTGCCCTTTAGAAACTCAGAGTCTAGTGAATGATTTACACGAGATGAGAGCACACATCTCAAAACAATCTTGGTATTTTCCCTTAGGGTCGTTAACTTTGACCAGTCATACCTGTCCCTAGCAGAGGTTTGCAGGGTTGTTTTGACCTGGGAAACACAACATACTCCTCCTTGTTTTCCCTGAGCTTAGCTGTCCTCAGAATTAAACTTTCCACAGGATCAACTTCAGAGACTGCACATATTTTGTTTGGCTCATATAATGTGTTTAAAAAAAAAAAAAAAAAAAGTCTGAGCTCAGACTTAACAATGGGAAGTATTCATAAAATAAAAATGAAAAATAAATAAAGTGCACTTCTGTCCCTCTTGGAACCAGAGGACTGGACAAGCTGGGCCACATTCCCATGGGACCAGGAGCTGCAGCTCAGAGGCACTGCCTCTTTTGGAAGACGCCTGCTTCCTCTGCTCACCACAGGCCCAGCTCCCCAGTTCCCACTCGCCTGGGAGTCTTGCCTGGCCTGGTAGGGAATGGACTTGAGATTCTGAGATAAGAACAGGAGTCTCAAACAGCCTTGGAGCTTGCTTTAGGAGCCCTGGCATCTTTCCAGGTGGCAAATGCCACCTCAGGTAGCATAAATGTACCTTTTTTCCATTCTCCACCATGAGAAGATCTACAGACTCCTTTTCCTGCTCCCTATTCCTTCCTTGAAGATGGTCCTCTCCCTGCCAGCCTCACCTGCCCACTCCAGCATGTCCTCAATATTCTCTGCTGCCCCAGGCACAAGGCGGCTCTGATCCGTGTCTTCCAGCCTCAGGATGAAGCTCCCCTGATGCTTCTTGGCAAAGATGTAGTTGTACAGGGCAGTGCGGAGGCCACCCAGGTGCAAGAAGCCTAGTGGAAAAGAACAATTCAGACAAGTCAGGGAAAACGAAATCACAAGTCTCATCTGAGGGGCAAACAAGTTCTTCTTGTGACCGAATGTCTCAATGAATTAAAGACCAAATATGGGGCTGGGGATGTGGCTCAAGCGGTAGCGCACTAGCCTGGCATGCGTGTAGCCCGGGTTCGATCCTCAGCACCACATATCAACAAAGATGTTGTGTCCGCCGAGAGCTAAAAAATAAATATTAAAAATTCTCTCTCCCTCTCCTCTCTCTTTAAAAAAAAAAAAAGACCAAATATGGCTCTGCCTGTCCCATCTCCCTGACCAACAACCAGACAGTCAGACTGTCACAAAAGAGGACTGGGTGGTGGACTCATTTAAGTTCTCATCTTGGAAATGGAAGATCATCCATGTTCTGGAGCCTGTCATTTTGTAAAAATGCTCCAATTGTCCCTAAATGTATTCACCACTCTACTTTGATATTTGCCTCAAGGACACATTTCCCTCAAGGAGAGGTAGACCGCATCACACAGGCATTTAACTTATGCCTTGGTCTCCTTTGGAAGACCAAGTTAATTACAAGTGAATAACAAATTTAAAATTCTATAGCTGGTGCAGTGATATATATCTGTAATCTCAGTGGCTTGAGAGGCTGAGACATGAGAATCTCAAGTTCAAGGTCAGCCTTGGCGATAAACTGCTTCTGGGTTAAATTCTCAGTTAGTCCCCCTCCAGAAAATACTTTAAAATCCTACTTTGCATATATACTCTATGCACACCTTATAAGTTAATTTTGTATACTTGAGCACTAGCTTTAAATACTAACCAAAACAAAATTTGACTCCACAATATTTTCCTGCACCAGAGTTTAAACTTTTTTTAAAAATATATATATTTTTTGTAGTTGTAGATGGATACAATACCTTTATATTTATCTTTATGTGGTGCTGAGGTTCAAACCAGGGCCTCACATGTGCTAGGCAATGGCTCTACCACTGAGCGCCAACCCCAGCCCCCAGAGTTTACACACTTACTTTTTCATCATTCTTCACTGAGAACTTAAATTTAAGTTTTCCTACGGCTGTCATCTCCCCTCCCCTTACTTTCTTTGGTCTAGTCCAGAGACCTGAGTCTCTACAGTAAGCTCATCTACATTTCCAGGTATCTGAGGGAGCACAGTTTTCCTCCTGTTTCAACATGGACTCTATGTGTGACCTTTGCCACCACAAAACCAGTGGTGTTCAATGGCACTGGGTACTAGGAACATGAAAGACACAGTCCTCATAGTTAAAAACAAGGCCTCTGACATCACATTTACCTGGATTGAAATTCCGCATCTATCACTTACCAGTTGCTACCCTTTGGGCACTCTACTTAAATTTTTTGAGCTTTAATTTCCGTATCTGCTAGAGGGATTAAAAACAAAAAAAAAATAGGCCAGCCGTGGTGGCACACATTTGTAATCCCAGTCTCTCTGGAGGTTGAAGAAGGAGGATTGAAAATTAGAGGCCAGCCTTAGCAATTAGCAAGACTAAATAAATAAACAGATAAAGAGCTGGGGGGCGGGTTGTAGCTTGGTGGTAGAATATCCCTGTGGTAGTGGTACCTACAGTATCAAAAAAAAAAAAAAAAAACCACTTTATTACAAGGTTGCTGTGATATCTAAATGCTTGCTGCTGAAATATTCCTTCAATTAATTTTTAGCTAGCACAGTAATCTATGCTGCTTGATGATTCTTTTATCTGTTTGTAGTCAACAGCTTTCCTATACAAATGAGCTCTTCCTGCAAATCTTCAGGGAAATGGGAATTATAATGATCATAACAGAGGGTACTGTTCGTCAAATGTCTTTTATAAGATTAGACCTAAGTGGCTCAGCTACATTGGCGCAAATCCAAGGCAAGTACTATTATTAGTTCTACTTGACAGCAAAACTGAGGCTCAGCGATGTTAAGTAATTTGCCTAAGTTACACATCTAGGAATTGGCAGAGAGAGAAATTTGGATCCAGACAATCCTAGGACTTGGCACTCTACCGTTAAGTACTCCTAAAAGCAAGGCGCACAGTCTAGTGCTGATACACTATAACTGTTGCCAGCTCACAACAGACTAGCATAGAAAGAGTAAAGGTTTCGAAACATGTAGCAACTATTTTTTTGTACAGCAATTTAATAGAGTAAATTTTGTCTGTTGTACTGAAAAAAATAAATGGGCTTCTATGTCCTATGTTTTCAGATCTTCCGTTTTCCTAGTACTTCATTTATATTGATTTTTACAATATAATTGTGAAGTTATATTGTAAAAACACAACTGAAAATTAAAAACCACTGCTTCCACCATGGATGATTTGAGAAACACTGCTCTCTATATAGGATACAGTGTGCATAGAAAGCTGTCACGTGCACCTGGAACTTGGCCACAAAGATGCTTATCTGCTAGCTGCGGGGTATGGAATAAAAGGCTTGCCAAGCGCAAAGCAAAGCAGAGCGGGCAGAAGGTAGCCTTGGTGAGAAAGAATGTTGGGAACTGGTGTGGTAGTGGGTTGACAGGAGGTTGGAGACAAGTGGGTCTCCAGCAGGTTACACAATGGATCTGTGCTTCGCTGGCTTGCAAAGCTCTCAACGCTCCCAACCGCGGGGCTTTTGCACCTCCCATTTCCTCTGCCCAGGTTTTCCCATGAGCTTCACATAGGAAGACCCCTTGGTTCTCGGTTCTCAGCTCACACGTTCTCTCCTGAGCAAGGCCTTCTTGAGCATCTCACCCTAACCTCAGCTTCCTACTCTGCTCTGTTTCCCGCATGGCCCCTGTGACTCCAGTCACTTTTTATAAGTGGCCACTAGAACACAGACTTCATTTTCAGTGACCACCATCCCGACGACCAGGACGTGGCACGGTGTATACTCAACACGCGTTCACTGAATGCATGAAAAAAGTGATCTATAGAGATGTTGCAGAGATGTTCCCGGAAACGCGAAACCTTTCCGCTCCGGGACCTCAATTTCTGCCTCCGTAAAATGGGGTCGCGCTGCCCTCCCCCGTCTGACGCCACCGGAAGGGATTTGTTCAGGAACCTTCGGGGGGGCGGGGACGGGAAGGTGGGCCGCGGCCTGCAGCGTCACGTCCGCCGAGGTTACCTGTGGGGCTGGGAGCGAACCGCACTCGAACCGCAGTCCCGGGATCGATGCCCAGGCTGGCTTCATGCCGTCCCACCGAGCGGCCCAAGGCCGCCGGGGGTGTCCGGAACCGAAGCAGTCTCTTCAGGAGCGTCGCCATGTGGGCTAGACTCGCACACGTGGGCTTCTTAGTGCGTCACTTCCGGGGACTCCTCCCAGCCAATCTCCCTCTGCCACAGAGAGCGCAGCCCCGCCCCTTAAAGGCGCAGGCCCCTACTTTGAAAACACGCCCCCTAGACGGCAGCTGCCAAAC